GGGGCAAGGAGTTTCACTATAAGGTGAAATTATTCAGTATAATACAGGTTGGAGAGATCATTTATAGATCAGCAAAGGAAATAACTTCTAATTTCTGATCAGTTCAAGGTTGTTAAGTCATTCCCACACACACCTATTGATTCCCTGCAGTCTGGATGCGAATTTTCTATAGATTGAATGGCATCTCTTTCTCACATCAGGAGAGGTCTCTGCCAGAGCCAGGACACTGCTCAATGCAGGCATCCACCATCCCCTTGCTTGTTGCAATGTAGTGTGTTACGCTGAACTAAAACTGCATAGGACACTGGGCTCCATGCAGTGGGGCTGGGGCAGATATCCAATTTGTAGTTTTATATACTTTAGCAGTCTTATTTCTGTAAATCCTATCAGTAAAAATGAGAATTTGACATCGACACGGGGCTTCCATGGGTTGTCCTCAACTTGCACTTATAAAATGAGGGAGAATTTGGCTCTTACTTTTACCTTATTCATTTTGACTAATCCTGCAGTTGCATTTTGGCTTGTTAGATCAGCTAAATTAGACTAGTTCACTGTTATTCTGGGACTTTGTACAGAAGGTATTTTAGTCTAAAGCAGATTTCATTACTTATTTTCCCGTTAATTCATAAGTTAATTTGGCTGCCAGACTGAATAGTTGTACATAAAAGGAAGAATATATGTTACTCAGCTTAAAAAATTTCAGAGTGCACAGTCCCAAGAAACAGGAGGTTATCAAAGTTCGGTAGTATCACCAACTGATGACTAATGAGCTTACAACCTCCATGTGCGGTACAGTAAATGCTCTCGTTAATTCTTTATAAGACCTTTAGAAAACATACTGCATTCATCCTGCTTCCTAGCTGTCAGAGCCTAGTAGATGACTTCACTGTCTACTTTGACATTTTTACTTTTTCATTCCAGTTTGGTTTGTTTGCTTGCCTTAAAAAATGCCAACTGTGTGAATTGTAAAAAGGTCAACCAATAGTTCCCAGTCCAGAGAGGAGAGAAGTAAATGAACACATTAGAACAGTAATTTTGACCCTTGCATTATTTTTTTTCTGTGAACTGTTAGTTATAAATACTAAAGCTGTATCCTAATGATCTTCTAATCTTACTAACGTGAAAGTTCTCTCTGCTTTCAGAATTTCTACTGCCCCTTTTTACATCAATGTCCAAGCACTGAAATGACATCACTGAGGGATTAGGGGAGAGTAGAAGAGGGCAAGGTTTGGGGGATATTTTGGTTTTACGTTTGGAAAGCCAGTAAGATCTGATTCTGAATAATATACATATACCATCAAACTGTGATAGACTGAGGTAATAATGGTGTAGGTTATGCATAATTTGGGGTGCTGTTACAACTCCAGTCACTCCTAGCATATTGATACATACTGAAGAATATACATATTTGGATGGCAAAGCAAGACTTTATCTTTGTCTGAATGTGTACTGCTGATCATACAGGGAGGTAATTCTTGCACAGAAAATCTTTTTTCCATCTATGGTAGTGGGACACCAAACAGTGCATTCATCCAAAAAGATGCCACAAATGCAGTAAAATACACCCTGTGTCAGTGGATTTTTTTTTCATGGTTATGAATATGAAAAGCCTAGTATGATGACATTTCTTTGCTCACAATATTAGTCTTTGGCCACTTCTGTGGTTAAAGTGGCTATCAGAATAGGAAAAAAAATTTCACTTATTGTGACCAATATAAAATACAACCTTGGAGGCTCTGGGGATTTTGAACAGGAGTTAAAAAAAAACCCACACATTTCAGATTTGTTTTTTCGGTTCAGATATACAAAGGAATTCAGCCAATAGTAGTGACATTAAAAATATAGATCAAATTAACACGCGTCTCGCTAACACTGTATGAGTACACTGTTTTCAGTAGAGTCACTTTAGATTTATGCTAGTATGTGGAAGACACAGTGACATGCTTTTTTGACTGAAATCCAAGAATACATCAAAATTCCCATGTTACACCATACTACAGTTTTTCTGTTAGCATGATAACCAGGAATTCAGATATTAAGATGTAAATGCTTAGTACAATCCTTTTCCACCTGCTGGTATAAGCTTCTAGCTAAATAAATATACCTACAAAGCTTAAAATTTGAATTAGCAGGCCTAGTGTCCTCAAACTACATAAAGTGCCTGTAAAAAAAGTTTCTCTCATTCCCCATGAGCTCATCTTATGAGGAGATTCATTCACCTAGTCCTTCGTGAGTTATTCTTGACAAGTCCCATTTTCTCTGGTTTTGCAGTAGTGAGAGATTTAGTCCTAAATGTAATTTAACCTTTATTATTATATTACTACACGACTCTCAGTACTGGTCATAATACATCACACTGATTAGTGCACAGTAAATCCCAGAAAACTCAATCAGGAAAATACAATTACTTGTATGCCATTAAAATGTTTTTTGCTATTTTTTCCCTTTTGTTTTTTTCCTTCTTCAATTGTTTAAGTTTAAAGTTTAAATAATTAGGCTGCCTGGTCTGTGAGGTTCAGAAAATGTGTTTCTTCAAATATTTCAATCCCTGACTCTCTGAGTTTGGTTTGAGGCTGAAAAGCAGAGACTACTTGATGCCCATGACAAGTGCTGTTGCAGTAGGTAAATGCTGTCAACCCCTTCAGTGCAATTCATAACTTTATGTGGGTAAATTAACTTAGTGGCAGTTTAGAAGACAACACACAGGTGCTGTGCCAGTCAGAGCCAGATGGTAACTGAAATTATTAAAATCATGCTGCATGCTGCAGAACCTCTGAAAAATTGCACTGTTACAAAGCCTGATTGGGATCCTAATACAAACCAATTGGTGTATATAGCATTTGTAAACAGCATATGGTATGATTTGCCACTGTTTACTTGTAATCTTTCCGTTCCCTGCTTTCTAGGTTCAGCTAATCCACTATAACCATGAGTTGTACACAAATGTCACAGAAGCTGCGAAGAGTCCTAATGGCTTGGTGGTAGTTTCCATATTTATGAAAGTAAGTATTTAATATTCATCAGTATCTAATGTATAAATGATGGACTTATTTTCCCATGGCCTGGAATTCTATACTACGCGTTACAGCATTGCCCTGCCTAGAGGCTCTGACCTGCAATCCAGGGACAGCGCTGTCCTGGGGACTGACGCACAATCCCTGCTCCAAAGCATTTACAGTGTAACGTAAAGAAAATAAAAAGGGTTATGTGAGAGAAATAAGCAAACAAATAAATAAGTACCTTATATCATAAACAACGTTCAACAGTTAACAGCTTTGACAGAAGTTACTAAGTTTGCAGAGCTGATGTTTCTTTAGGAGATGCAAGACAAATCATTCAATTAAAAGTAAACCTCTCCTAGTATGCTGAGGCACTGGGCAGGAGCAAATCTTTGCTCTTTGGAGACAGGTTGATGTTTCAAAGTCAACAAAACAAGTTTTTCTTCTGATGTTATTTAAAATATCTTAGATTATCAAAACTGAAAGAACATCAAAAATACTATTCTTTTACCATTTGCCATTTCACAGAGCTGGAAAAACGTGTGAATGTTTTCTCATATTTTAGTCTCCATTCTGTTGTATGCAAGATTCATAGTTAGGCCTACATTTTACAGTGACCTAGCATTAAACTCAGGGTTTAACAGTTTACACAAAGCTCCACAATGACATTGGGGAATCCCGCTTTCTCATCTTTTCTAAAAAATGCATTAACTCCCAAAACAATATTTGCGTTACATAATTATGTATCTCTGTTTCATCAGTTTAAAAAAGCGTGCCTCTCTGAAGTGATTCATCCTGAAATAAATAGCTTTCATCATCAAACCTTACATATTTAGTACCTTTTATTTCCCTCTAGAGCTCTTTAATCCCAGGTAAAGTTCCTGTCAAAACATTAACTTCAGAATTAAAATATGTATTTCATGAAGCACCTTGGAAAATTAGACATCAAAATTGCCTTTTGTACAGGCCTAATATTTAAGAAAGATATTTAGGTTACCTCTTTTATCCAATATGTATTGTGTTATGACCAAAAATCTAGCCTGAATTCATGCAAAAGGATAAAACTGAAGCAAGTCTTCATAATGCCCAGTATGATGCCAATTTTGTGTAAATAATGCATTCTTTCTATGTACCTCCCGAGCTGCACACCTGACATAATCACAGACTCACAGAATGGTTGAGGATGGAAGGGACCTCTGGAGATCACCTGGTCCAACCCCCGACTCTGCTCAAGCAGGGTCACCTAGAGCCTGTTGCCCAGGACCACGTCCAGACAGCTTTTGAACATCTCCAAGGACCGAGATTCCACAAGAAATTTTTCCTCATGTTCAGACAGAACTTCCTGTGTTTCTGTTTGTGCCTGTTGCCTCTTGTCCTATCGCTGGGCACCACTGAGAAGAGTCTGGCCCCATCCTCTTGACACCCTCCCTTCAGATACTTACACACATTGATAAGATCTCCCCTCAGTCTTCTCTTCTCCAGGCTGAATAATGAGCAACAAAATTTAGTATCTGCCTCACCCAGGCCTCTCCCACCCACATGAAAAGACGTGTTTTACTTTAAATATCCAAAGCAAGAAGATGATTCTTCTTGCTAGAAGAATGATATATTCAATATTAAGATTGACAAAATGATTGATGGAAAATAAATGAAACATTTTCAAATCAAAAATATTTTAGTAAATGTATAGTTAGGAAAAATTATACATTAAGAACACTAGATCCATTTGCTACTAAGACACATAGCAGATTCTGTTCCCAATGTTACTGTCAATCACTGATCTTCCGATTGCCTGGTTTCAGCATAACACCTCAAAAAAAAATGTTCTGCTTGCTCCAAGTGGAAAAAAAATAAACAAATTGGGGAAGCAACTATTTTAATTTCAGAGGCTTCCCTTCCACAAATTGGAAACTGAACTGAATTATCCTGAAGGCTACCAGCAAACAGAGGTAGATTTCAGTTTATGCAATGTCCCATTTACTTTTCTAAGTCCTAATTAAACTTTTTGTGAACTTTTCAAGTTTCAAAATAAATTGATTTCATTCTGGATAAATGCTAGATATGTAATAACAGCATCCAGTGTCTGATAAAAAGAAACACATTGCAGAATAATAGAAAGAAATGAGTAGGATATTAGAAGGCTAGGTATAGAATTAACAAAATGCCTCCATAAAAAAATCTGTGACATTGATTTTGTTGCTAACCAATAGAGATTTTGTCACTGGCAGTGCAATAAAATATCTCTGGTTAAATTACTGTATGTTAATAATAGATATTCAACCCCCCACAAAAAATGATGCCTCTCCGTTTTCTGTTTGTCACTTTTCTTCTTAATCCTCCCCAGGTATGTCTGTAGGCTGAAAATTATACTTTTTTTTTTTAATCTAGTCATTTCATTCCCTCCTGGGGGAGGAGTGTGGAGAGGAAGAGAAGACTGTGCGTGTGTGTGTGTATACACAGAGCAGATACATTTGCCAGAAAGGAAATGTTTGTGTGAAGATTTTGACAATGAACATTTTCTCTTCTGTAGGTATCTGAATCATCAAATCCATTTCTAAATCGTATGCTTAACAGAGACACCATAACAAGAATAACGTATAAAAGTAAGTTTCTTTTCATTTACTACGGCTAATAGCTGTATGCTTTTAGTATCAAATAACAGATTTAGTGATCCACTGAAATAAGAGACACTTTATAACGGACAAAAATTTCAAAGCTTGCATTGCCAGCAACTCTGCACAATATATCTGGGGATTTGAAAAATCTAATAAGGTCATCAATTCATGCAACGGATTTTGAAGTTCAAAACCTATTTCACATTTGAACAAGCAATAAATTAATGAAATTATATTTAACAAATATGTGCTATACTCATATGGAATACTCAGGAGAAGCTGCTTAGAGTTAGTAATTAAAGTTACACGTGGAACAGCCTGTATTATATCAAACTACATTACACAAAGATGCTGCATCATTACCTGTTTCACCATGCAACTGTGTATTTAATATTAATTAGCAATTTCTTTTTGTGCACAAAAATATGACATGTCTATTCAAGTATTACTGCATTTAATAGAAATTACATAAAGAGGTCATTAACATAGCATGTATATTTGTTGTGCTCATATTTGGAATGCTTTTAACTGACAATGGTCAAAAATTCCACATTAGTATACTGAACATGTGGAAAACTGCCGCTTAAATGTCACCTAAATTAGGGCAATTTAGAGAAAGTCAGGAAAAATAGATAGATCTGAATGGAACAAATGAAACCTCTTCCCCTGAAAACCTTATTCTCTTCGTCAACTATTCACTTGAATTCCAAGTAGGCATTAAGTTAATAAAATAAGCTAAACAGTACCAGAATTAACTTTTGAAATAAGTACACAGCAAACTGAAAAATTAAGGAAAATATCTTAAAACTCCACCTGTTTGTTATTGCACAAACTGTGCCTTAACATTTTTCAGAAATTTCATTCATTTTGCTTTTGTCTGTGAAAGGTGGGAGAAGTTGTTCGTGATAACTGGAATGAGACTAGAAGTGAGGACTCCGGGATTTGGTTCCCAGTTCCATCAGTCTTTGCCCCAGTTTACCTCTCGGTAAATGAAATATATCATACCATGTACCCTACAACAACATAATGTTAATTTGAAAAATTAGCATCTGAAACTCCAGAGAGCTCAGAAAAGTCTGTTTAACTTTAACAAAAGTCACTGAACTTTAGGTTTCTGACTGGAGAGGTTTGGAGAGGTTTCTGTACACCTCTCCCTAAAGTATACAGTCTGATTTCTTTCTGTGGACTCCATCTTTTTCTCTTCCTGCAAAGCTAGAATTGCAAGAAGAAAAAATTATGGAACTGAGACCTTTAAAAGGCTCTGATTTCCTATACAAACTCATGGCACAGAATTTTACCCACTAATTTCTGAATAAGAGAGTATTAGAAAGATTTTGAGTAATGACATACAGAATTTGAGCAATGGCACCAGTGCAATCACATTCTGAGCTGGTTGTTCAATTCCTTGTTCTCTCCTAAAAATGCACACCTTTCTTACATTGCTATTTCTCTAGTTTTGCCTTATAGTTACCACATCTTGTTATATCTTTGGTGAAAGTAAGAGGCTTCTATTGTGATAAAACTCTTTTCTCCAAGGTACTTCTAGAAAGGAAGGTGACAGAGGCTTCCCCTCAAACATTTTTTCCAGATTGCTCCCTCAAGATGAAATGATTTCTTCTCTGCGTGGAAGGAGGAGGAGACTGGCCCAGTTTTTAGACTGCCTATCCTCATTCCTTGCAAAAAGACAGTAATGCTGCTCCTGTAAGAGCTTTCTACCTACCAGTGCTGCTGCAGCATCCTGGGGACAGAAGAAATTATGGTTAAGGCTATATGTGTCTCTTTTCAGGCTCTTCCACTCCCAAATCATGTATTCCTGGCTTCTGTTTGGGGAGTAGCCAAAAGATCCCTGACTGTAACACTGAGAAAGCTGCTTTTCCAAAGCACAAGGACCCGTCAGGTCTCACATACTGAATAGGAGAAGACTCTTGCCTCATTTTTCCCATCACAGCACCCGTATCTCACGCATTTACATGATTGTCACAGCTTTTCTAGTACTCCTTGGCCCCACGTGCTTCAACAGCTAGCCAGTAGAGCAAAGGCTGGGCAACTTCTGGTTGCTCAGAGCAGAGGAGAAGCCATGGTTATGAAGATATTGCTCCACAGGGCTGGAAGGAACAGGCAGCATTTTTTCCCCCATTGTGTGAACGACCACGCAACCACCACCTACCCCAGCTGGCACACGTATCTCCCCTGTAATATCACACAGCACAGCAAGTCTCCTGCCTGGCCAACAGAAAGCTGTAAGGTTTGACAAAGAGCATGGTCTGCCAACACAAAGTGTTCCCAATATACAGTACCTTATTCATTCACTGCTTTGCGATGGTTTAGAACAGGGCGCTCCTTCACCCTACAGTTGACTGTGTCCTATGGTCTTTCGCTGACTGCTTTTCTTTTCAGCTCTCTCTCTCTAGGAAGTGAGTGCAATTCCAATCACACTTAATGTGGTTATACTAAATGAAATTTGGCATTGAGATGAGTACATAACATAGGTTTCAAAATCAATGCTTATTGGAACTGTTTTAATTTTAAACCATTGTTGCCACTAACTAGTATATCTGTTAAAATGAAAACCTTGGTAGATACAGCGCGCACCATATTCTGCAGTACACTGGTTACTTACTGTAGTAACAAGTATTGACTGGAAATTTTTTAGTGCAAATTGGGAATGTGAAAATGTTATTGAAAGTAATTTTGTAGTTGTCTTGGATGATGGATTATAGCATCATTGCTGAAAACTAATTTTACTTCTTATATTGCAAGGATTTCTATTCTGCCTGTAGCAGCTATAGTTTTTTAGCTTCTGCTTTAGGGATCCACTCCTGAAGTCAATACTCAGCACGCTCCTGACAAAATGACTAGTCCCAGCATGCTCGATAGGAGCATGGGGTGAATGATAAGGGGAGAATTGCCTTGGAGTCAGGACAGTTAGTAACACAACTACAGTACTGGGCAACAATGATAAAGGACAACCAAATTAAGAGCTATCTGCCCTGCTGCATGAAATTTCCAAAGACAAAATGCAATGAGAGGGGAATATCTTCTATTGGATATTAGTGGTTATAACAAGGTAAAGCAGACCCCAATAAATTTTTAAGCATATTTTCAAAGCTTATTTTATTCTGTTATCACAGCACAAAGAATCCACTTTGAACTGGTGGAGAAAAGTGTTCTTTATTTAAATAGAGTTGAGCCAGAGGTTATGTGACCATCTCTAAAGAAAACCTACTTTAATATTCCTCTTTCAGAAGGGCAATGGATGAGATAAATTAGTTTTCTTTCACAACAGATGTGCTACGTTAGCTTTCAGGTTTGCCTCAAAAGAGGTCCGAGTGTTTGCCTAACATTGGAAGGAAGTAGCCTTTGAGCTTCCCAAAATTCCACGTAGAAATTTGGGCTTGTCGTTTTTCATCAAAATACCACCAGGCACTCGGCTAGGCCAAAGAGCTGTAAAATTCTGAATTTCCTCAAATGCTGAATTTCCTCAATCTTTAGCTGTTTTAGAGATAATGTACAGGGTATTTAATTTTAATAGATTATTCTGAAAAAGTTTAAGATTCAGATATCTAGAAATAAAAGACTTTCAATTTCCCAGGGCTCGTATTCAGTGTTCTGGTCTGAGTTGTCCGAGGGAGTGAGGTCTTCTAGCTCCTGTCACAAATGGTAAAAGATCAGCGGTCTCAAACCAGGGGACTAACCTTGGCTATTCAAAATGTGTCACTGCTTCTCTCAGCCTGGGTCTAAGTGACTTGCACAGGCCAGTAGGTGCAAAAACTCTGAGTCAGGATTAAAAAGCTAAGAATCTCTCATTCCTTACCCTGTATTCTGCTTAGGCCTGTACCTTCCCCTTTTGGATTATGCTGTTATGAACTTCAAAATCTAATGGGGCTTCTTTCATTCAGTAAATAATATATTCCTTATAAATACTATTGTTTTGAAGAAAACACATGTAAAATTCGCTATAAAAACAGACCCCACACAGCTGTTACAAATCTAGGAATAAAAGAATATGATTTCCATTATTTGTTTGGAAAATTGTCGGAGTCACGGCCTTTATGTAAATGAATGTGAAAGGCAATGAAATGTAGTTTGTATAGAGAAGAGTTCACAAGTTCATAAATCACCCCAAGGCACAAGCTGATGACAGTAAGCAAAATGTGGTCTGCAGACAGGAACGATGCTGAGAATCCAGTAAAGTCTGGATGGGTTTATTAAAGGAAGCTTAGTATTGGTGGAGATGCAGAGAAACACAACACGTGGTGATTTTGACCATTTTGAACTATATACCTGAAATAAAAAGCACCAATAAAGACAACATATTGAAGTGTTGGAGTCTATTATTAGAGCAAACCCACCAGTTCTGTTACAGATCCAGAACAGGAAATCTTATCAAGACTTTGGGGAAAGGAAAGAGTAGAGCTGCTCCTGGGAAAAACTGATGACAACCAAACACATATTCCAAAGCCTTTTCTCAGGCCATTCCTCTTGGTGTTGTTGTGGGGACTCCCCACAGGAATATGACCCTGATACAGGCATGACTGAATACAGCCGTTACTTGGCTAAATTCTTTTATTTTACTATTTCATTCATCCCTCTCTTTCCTTTTCTTGAGACAGACTGAAATGATGAAATTTTCCTCCAGTAGCTTTCCCATTAATTACAGCTAATGGATTTTGACACTCAGCCCAATTCAGTGCCTCTCCATAAACATTCTCCGAGTGAAAACAGAGGCAACGAAGTCGATTTGGAGCAGCTTCACTGTCCAGTACTGGTGAGGGTGAGGGAGATGGGCAAAACTTTTAGCACATATCAGCCTAAATATCCATCTGGGCAAAGAGCACTCATGACCTCAGAATGGTGGTCAAATACAAGGTTCACAGTATGTTTTGCAGGTCCCCAATATGCAAACAAGGTAAGGTAGCAGTTGATCGAAAGCTCAGTAAGGCTAAGAAGAGTACTTGTGCTGATCTTCAGAGCACTGACAGACATCAGGCCTGCCTGAATGAGTAGGATGACCTCGCACACTACTCCCACACTCTTACAAACCATATTTTATTCCTGGAGCCCCATTATATTCTCAAAATGACTAAACACCGTGAAGCCACAGATGAGGGTTCGAAGTCCACCACAAAACAATGAATTACATTCCCTATTAAGGCAATGTGAGGCAACTCCAAAAACTCCATGGTTACCTGCACTAATACCTGCAGCAAATTTGGTTCTGTATCTTCCATTTGATAACTAGCTGTATTGTTAATAAGCTGTGCACTGCTTTAGTACAAAAGTAGTCAGTCAGAACGTGGCACATAAAAAAAACCCTTATATCATCAATTTCACTCATCTGCATTAATCTTTAGTTAGCTTTCCATCTTCTAGTAGACATTTCAGGACAAATTCTACCTTGTTTAAATCATTTCAGTCCCACTGAAGTCAATATGGATGTGACAAAGCAGATTTGGTCCTTAGAATTTGAAACTATCTGTTTTGATTAACTCTGTGCCATTTGGAGCTAACATACCACTCTCCATGGCTCATAAATAATGAACAGGATGTTCATGTGAGAAAGGGAAAGATGTGTGATGACTCATTGAAAACAGGCTCTGGCTCGAAAAAATGCATTCATTCTGTTTCATGTAATTCTAACAAAGTTACTGTTGCACTGCAAATAATGTTGTTAATGACTAGGACACAGGTGTATTCGATCATCTCTAGCTGTTAAAATTAACAGCATTTTGGCTCTGTAATACTACAGCAATGGTTTTGCACTTTCATCTGGAAAATTTCTGATTTAGAAAAAGACTTTCTATCCCAGCCCGTGGGCTAGTGGAGGCTAAACACGTTAACAAAGGTGACACAGTAAGTCACCTTATGGGACAGTAACAGTAGTGTCCCCTCTGCCTGAGGATCCAGCTATGACAGGACAATGACGCTGGCTCCAAGTGCAAGAAAGGGGCAGAGGGCTGTATTCCTAACAACGTGAAAGGACATGACAAAACTATCTTTCCTAAAATAACAAACATTTTAAACACAAAATAACTTTAAGGCAATGGTCGATGTGCCCTACTAGTCCACCTTCTCCTTGCCAATCAACAGATGATATAAATGTTACACTCTCACCTTGACACTTTAGCTGATGCTGAAGCTACTGATGTCTCCACACCGTGGAGACCCACGGAATGTTGACTGCACTGCGTCAAAATAAAGTTGTCTTCGCATTTGCTTTGCCTGTGTACTCTGATTTTCTGCCGCCAAGACAGCAGTCTGCAGCATGCACAGAGTCCCTGAGTCCTTTTTCTCTTTCGTTATACAGTATGGGACAAGTATTTTGCTTGTCTAAGCCTTGACCTTCAGCTATAATGTGTGAAATTAAAGAGTTAAAAGTTAATTTGCTTTTTTCTTTTTTAGGTCTTACACATTTCCTTGATCATTCTTACTTCTTTCTTTTGTTCCATTTACAATCATCATCTTTTCTTAATAGCCAAGGAATTGTTTATTAGCTTTTTTTTTTCTTTTTTCTTTTTCTTTTTTTTTTTTACTCTTTAAGCTTGCAGTGCATGATACATGAAAAACATTAGAGAACCCAGCAGGCATGCCTAAGTTATTGACATCGACTGAAAAGATGTGCTTTCAACATTGTTCTTTAGCCTGAGCAGGAATCATCTGTTTTCTTTGCAGTATCTTCCTGTTCTTCTGTTACAATCAGCATCAATTTCTCTCATGTACTGAAAGAGGAAACATGCTCAAATATGCAGCATTCCCTGCCCACATTTTAGCATTCACTCTGCAGACCAATCATATTGAACACACTAAAAGTGGATGAAAGCATACACAGGGATTTGACAACATTACTACTGCTAACCAGCACAGATTTCTCTGAGATGCATACCGGTAGTGTATCAAAAGTTAAGTGTGTTTATCCCTGAGTATTTCCCTGTTAAGGAAGTCCAACAGTCTAAGATTCTGCAGGGAAATCCGAGCTGCAGCTTTAACAGCACCGTCAAAAATTCTATGGGGCCAGGTTTACACATGGACAACAACTTACATAGCATAGGAAAGGCTGAACAACTTTGATGACTTTTAAAAGATATATCCATATCTCATTATATTTCGGTACATGTCCGCATGCTGAATTCTGTTGCAGAGGGATACCTCATTAATTCACAGAGAGGCTTATGATAAAAGCAGGGACCCTAATAAACTGCTTTCCATACTTTTTCACCCTGATTTTAGCATTCTGAGTGAGCTTGCACTGCATTCGCCCCCACTGTGCACATGAAAGCACAGTAGGCTTTACTGAGCAGCTTTATTATCATGCATTAACCTTAACTTCCTCCTGTGGTAGAAGGGCAATTAAGTTTCAACACTCTTGGCCTTCCCAAGGCTTTGTTGAGCAAAAATTGTTAATCACTCCAAAATATGGTAAGCTGACATTCTCCAAAGTCCGCTGCATCTAAATCAATAACTTCAACTTCAAGCAACTTTCAACTCCAGTTCTTAAATGAGGTTCAGATTTTCACTGTGAATGTTTGGGCTGAACTCTCACAGAAGCTGCACATGGGCATCTAAGAGTAGAATTTAAGCCAAATAGGATTACTAAATTCATGTTATTTGTTCAATTCTGAACTGCTGGAGCCTTCAGAAATTTACACATATTACACTTTGTATTTCTGTAAAACTGGCAATGATGATCTTCTAGAATAACAACTGTATGTAAAAATGTTTGTTTTGTGAAACTATTGCTTTATCTAGATTATTTTCCTCCTCTCTTCTCCAGATGATGCATACTTACTACAGGGGCTTAATATTGAGGAACTTTATCCAGAGACCTCTAGTTTCATTACATATGATGGGTCAATGACAATTCCACCCTGCTACGAAACAGCAAGCTGGATAATAATGAACAAACCTGTCTACATAACAAGGATGCAGGTAAAAATAAAAAAGATTTACTAGATCCAGTATGCATACAAAAGAAGAATATTTTAAACATATATTTTTCCAGCTTTATATGTGAAATTAGATTAAATCCTTTGCTGTAGGGATCTCTGCTTGCAATTTATAGAGCTTGTTAAAGTCCTCAAGAGCGTTTCAGAAAAGTCAGTCCTCAAGAGTGTTTCAGAAAAGTAAAAATACTAACTATTTAGAGCTATCTAAGTATCTACACACAAACACTTTGAAGTTGACCCTACTTGGAGTGAGAGTTTGGACCAAACAATCTCCAATGGTCTCTTCCAAACTAAATGATTTTATGATTCCATGACTGTATGGGGATTCCAGAACAAGTATAGCAGGACTGTACAAAAGTAACTGAGGTTCAGAAGTGTAACTGGGACCACTTCTAGGTCAGAAAAAAAGCGCCAGATCATGCATGTTGTGGCTGTTTACCTACACGCTAGTAGGACATTCATGTTGACAGGGATCCAATATATGGGGCCTGTTGGAAAAGCCTAGCCAATGCTTTCTGGTGTAGAATGAGAGAATAGATATTGCAAACATCTTCAGAAAAGTCAGAACACAGAAGATTGATACATTGAGGCCCCATTAGAAAGAAGAAGGATAAATTATGCAAAAGAAAACAGGATTCATGCCATAGTCAAAATTCTCCTGTTGAGGAAACACACCAGTGGAAAAGCCATGAAGATTACATTTCTGTATGACTAATTCACATTCAATTCAATGCCTAACTTCAGAAAGCCACAAGTTTAACATCAACTGCACTCCTCCCTGGAGCTTCCATCAGCAAGTTGCCTACAGAGCTGCGAGCCAATCTAACCTGACTCTCTTGTGTACTAGAATCCCAAAGGAATACTTGCAACACCATCTGCCTGTCCCAAGCATGCAACAGAAGCAATCTGGCCTGAAAAATGCAATGAGAAATGATAAAACAACCCCCAATATTACTTTGGGATTTAAAATCATATTAACATTGTAAATAAGATGCCTTTAGAAAGCCTGAGAGATATTTTATCTTTGTGATATTCCTTCTGCCCAATTCTGTCTAGAGGCAGAGAATGCCCTTTGCTTCTTCTCTAAACGGGCAGAGTAATTTAGGAGAATGACACAGCTGAGCAAGAATGGATGCATGCCATACATTCTGAACTTCTCACACAAGCAACCTGAACATTTCCTACAAGAAACATTTTCAGCTACAATATTAATGTACAAAACAAGGATTAGAGTATTCCTATAGCCTACGCTAGTACCTATGGGGTATAATCTCATGATACTTACTCCTTGTCATGCTTTACTGGTTAGTTACATCCTCCGCTGTTAGTGCTGCAAATTGATTTCATGGAATACTTACTAATTATACTGTGTACTCAGACTGAAAAGCTAATGCACACCTCAAGTTTTCCCTGGAAGCTTTTAAAGATCTTCAGTATGCAAATCTATTGGATTTCCCAATTTAAGCAATATTTCAGTTAATGGCTAGAGGACAATATTAACTCATAGCCTTTTAAATGTTCAGCTTGTACGTGAACATCTAAAATATCTTCTTTTTACATTTTTAAACCAAAATATTTTGAGGGTTTTTGATTTACACTTTAAAGCTTTTTTTTTTTTTTTTTCAATTTCCTCCAAAAAGTTTGAAAGGTTTGGGTTGACCTGGACCAGTTAGCATTCTTTTAGGCAAAACATTTTATACAGTTTTATAGTCACTAAAAGAAGCATTGCTGTCTGCTGGGTGGTTTGCAGCCAACCACTGCTGAGTGCACTGGAAATCCTTGATGATCCAGTAATTCCTTCTTTGCTGATTTGTAAAACTGTCTCAAAGGAAGGCCTGAGTCTACTAGAAGAACAGTATAGATACAGAACAGACAATATCAAGATAGCCATGTCAGCAACAAGAGGATTTCAGTTTGAACACCATTTCATGACTTTCAGCAGCATGACTTTGTCAGTTATCCTTTCCATCCTGACTGGGCATGCCCTGTTCTTGAGCACCGTCATCCAGAATTGTGTCTTCTCAACAGGAAGCTATACACAACTTTTAGAGAATTAATTTCTGTCATTTATCAAGTTTGTCTTCTCTGCACCAGCTACCTACCATCTAGTACTCTGCATTCCATTTGTTTCCTGATCAGTCAAAGCTACCTCATATCATTTTCATTTACTCCTCACAAAACTAGTTATTTTTGTTTAAAATGGGGCTTAGAAACAGAGGACCACAGAAGGAATGGTTTTACCTTTAGCTAAGGTGTCTCTTTCAACCCATCTCCAACTCCAAATCATTCAAATTCTTTTCAACTTTCATTCATTAAGTAGTCTTTTAAATAGTTTTGTATGTTGTTTACTTACAGGAAAGACCAGTACTAAAAATCCTTGTTTTGTATTTTGTATAGATGCATTCTTTACGACTGCTAAGCCAGAATCAGCCATCACAGATATTTCTGAGCATGAGTGACAATTTCAGACCAGTCCAGCCTCTCAACAATCGATGTATCCGAACTAATATCAACTTTAGTTTACAGGGAAAAGATTGTCCAAACAATAGAGCACAGAAACTACAGTATAGAGGTACGTTCTACCTCCAGGATAATCATTTCTATGCTTACACTGAGCTCTTTTCATTGAGAAACCCAAACGCATAACAAAATATGCAAATAAAAATAAATGAAACTCCACATCTGTGGGACTAATAGTATAAGTCAAGCATTGTATATTTGAAATGGATGAGGAAATTTGCCCAGAAGCATCCAGGAAAAACAATGACAAAAGCCAGTCTGGGATGTCTAATATTTTTATAGAGCAGATGATAGGACAAGGCTTCAACTTTCTAGCCTCATTTTAAAGTCTTCTCACTTTATAAAACGCATTGTGCTCTATTTTATCCAAGAAAAAGGGGGATGAGCTAGTCTCGATAACAGTTATCTATCTCGAACAAAAGAATAAATTTCATGTTGGAGGTGCAACACCATAGCAAATGCCCAAGTTAGAAAGTCCTGTATAACACAAGGGACACTAAACAAATGGACCAACCCAGTCACCTGCTGATAAAGTCTTACACTGCCCCAACTGGGGGCTCACAATTGAGCTGTAATGTGTCTTATGCATCTTTTAGCTTATGCACATAGTTTTATTACATGAGATAATGGTGTAAAAGTGCCTTCTTAACCAGCAACATTACAGTTATGAAGGAGTAGTGTTGAAGGGGGTAAAAGAAAGCACATTTCAATGATAAGGCTGATGACTGAGTTGCAACACTTCAAAGAAAGAAACAGTCATTCAGACCCAATGCTTTTCCCGGAAAAGGAGGAAATTGAGTCTCCTGGCTTTTTAAGATATATTAAATATAGTGTTAAATCCAGTCAGTTTCATATTTGGAGTTTATTAAAGTATAATTGTTTCCGTTTTCTTTCTCTTTCCTTTCAGTAAATGAATGGCTCCTCAAGTAAGTAAGAGAGCAGGCAGAACCCATAACCTCAGTGGAATGCAACTACTGTGAATTGACATAATCTAGAGTGCACCCAACCTCATTCTCTCTTTGGGTTCACGACAGCATGTGCAAATGTGCTGTAAGAAATGAGCTGCCATGGTGGAAACTCAACTAAAAATTCATTCATGTGATCAGTGGTAATAATTAAAAAAAAAAGTAAAAAGACAGTATTACAGTAAATGTGATTACAATTTTGATACAGTTTTCCTCAACTAATCTAGCTTCACAAAGAAAGACTTTTCAGCCTTTGTACATATGAAATTCTTCCTCTTTTCCCTCTCTCCCTCAAATTAAAAAAAAAAAAAAAGAAAGAAAAAAAAGGTGGCTCGGTACAGCATCAAAGTGGAGTTGTGTTCTGTGTGCCAAGTAATCCTTGGAAAGCTCTCATTATTTCACTGTCATTAATGGATACTGACAAGACAGAACCAGACGACTGTAGAGGATACTTATTTCTAGGTTTATGATCCTTCTGTTCATTTAATTAAAAAAAAAGGGAAAGACTTTGAGAGATAAGTATTGTAAATATATCACTGCAGAATATAAAGGAAATTGAAATATTTCCCTCTTTGTCACATATCTGTGGTAGGATTTGCCAAGATCAGAACTGATCCATTTTCTGTTTCTTGTTTTACAACAGGTCATGCGTTGTGTTGGTTACAACTAACAACTCAATAAATGTGTTCAACAAATTAATTTAGTAAACTTGCTTTGGTTTATTTTTTCTTTCTGAAATAACAAGCCTCTGGTACTTGTGGCTGCATTATTTGTGTTTTTCTTCCCCCTCCCCCCTTTTTAACTTAATTTATTTGTTTGCAGTCAATTAAGGTGAGTTAATTGGGAATACAGTTAACAAAGCCAGTATAACTTTAACTCCACTTTATGGTTCATCATCAGTAAGAACTGGTCTTCAGAAGCAGAATGCAGTTGAAACGTATCTCAGTATAAAATTCCCATTTTCCCTGTTGAATCCATTACTGGGATAAACAAATTCAACCTTGTAAAAACTGGTGGTGGAAAGGAATGTATTTTCTTTCCAGATAAAGCAGAAGCTAACCAAGTAAAAGCGAATGCCTTTTTTCCTTGTTTATGATGGTCATTCACTGTGTTTGGTTACTGTCAAGAACTCAATAAATGTGTTTAACAAGTTCACGTAGTGCATGTTTGACCTTCTTGCACATTAAGGAATCCTGAATGGTGTGTTTCCCTGGGGACAGGGCAGAGGCAGACCTCATGCTAACCAGTTCATAACGGTCACTTCACAACACGTCACCACAGAGAAGATGTTGGAGTTCACAGAAAAGATGAAACTAGAAAGGACCAAGCCTGAATTATGGACTGCTCGTACCAAATTGAAAAATATGCACTATAAGAAGTTTGAGGACTGAAGCCCTGTAAAGAACTCTTAGGCCCAAGATGTTGCACACCAACTAGCCTCAGCATGACAAATACAATATTTCATCTTTGGCTTAATACAGCAGTATAGGTACTATCAGACTGGAAGATGAGTTTATGTTGCAGGGGGCAGTTTGAAAAGGTGGCAAAGCACCAGCAGGAGATTTTGTGACTTCATTTGTAACATGAATGGGGAAGATATCAGCAAAGTTAAAACATGCATGTTTAGGTATTCAGACGACTGTTAAAGTAGACACATGGGGGTAGGGGGAACCTGGAAGGAGCCTGAAGCTATCAGCAATTCAGTTGCTGAACGGAAGGTGCAGGGAAATCACTGTTGAAAGAGCAGAGGCTGGCCTAGAGGGGATGCAACACATTGATGCTGCATTTCTAGCAGGGTTCCCACCTGATGACCCGGCACAGGATTCTGTTAGCGCATATGTAGTGCTTGATCTCCAGCTTAATTCAGTTTGAGCATTTCAGATAACTTTCACATAGTAGCTTAACACTGCGCAGTGATCTGGAAAAGCCACAGCACAATCACAGAAATGCCACATTGAGTTATTATTACACTGCAGCTTAATGTTGTCAAATTCTGCAGCTGAAATAAAGCAAGATTACCACTTTAGATTTATCCAGCTTATAAGAAATGAAGTACAAACCATGTCTCAAGTATCTAATATTTTTGAGATGTCATAAAGATCTTCAATTTAACTTTTAAATTTTATATATTTTGGGCAAATATCTGGCAGTCGTTGATCCAAGTTTGTCAGGGACAGAAGGTAGGAAACATAAGCCAGGCCTCCATTTTGAAACGTTTAGTAAGTAATAAAACCTATTTGCTATTTCACTGAAAGTTGGTCGAAGGGATTTAAGAAGAGGAAGAGATATGATAGAAAAGGCTAGTCCTAGGAAGAAGTCATGCTGTGTTTTGGATTAGGTGAAGCTGGAATAGCTGGAATATAGAAGCCCTGCAAATAGAGAAATGCAGCAATCATACCGGGGTGCAGCAAATACATGTGCCAACATTTCCAGATCCATTTTGTGAACTCCATCTTTGTTTGGGTTTTTGCTTGAACAACAGATTGCGGTAGAAATAAACCGAACCAAGCTTATAATTAAATATCTTGCACACTGCTCACATTTCAAGAGTGCTCAAATCTATATATCTAGATTCTGTTTTTTCAACTCAGGCATATTTCTCAAATGGCAAAAGATACAGGGCATTCTAAGAAAACCACACCTTATCACAAAGCCTTTGAGCAAAAAGATGAAGTGACAATATCAAACAGCTGACATGGAGACAAACTTCCCACGTTTACAAAGTCTACACAGCATGACAACATGCTCACATGCTGATCCCTCTGACTTGAGTGCTTTCTGCCCACATTGCTCGCTAGAAATCTGGATGCACACTGACTCAAAGCTCAGTACTTTGTAGTAAGGGCTGACTTGTGCTGTCATGCCCTCCGTACCATTCTTGCTTGAACAATTTAGATTATGAGTGAGATACCTCACTTGTAATAAGGCTTAGAACATGCACGAACTACCTGTCAAGGTACATAAACCCGGCAGCTATGTTCAGTGAGTAGTCAAAACCACATGCAGGACTGTGCTGCCATGCCACAAATGATAACAGATATTAAGAATATACATACTAGGAGGGAATTGTCAAATTTGATAAGAAAGTGATATCAAATCACGTAATAATTATCACATTTATTTGATGATAAAAAGTGTGAGAAAATTCAAATTTATAGTACTGTAAAGGCTCCTGTTTCAAATAGTATTCAAAAAAGTATAATAGTTAACTAGATTTGATAAGGTCATTTTTTCCTTTAACTTAACAAAAAGGAAAAGACTATGTCTGTACAGAAAATGACAGCAGATGAATAGGACCTGTGGGATGAAGGCAGAAAGCAAAGACCTTCAGCATAATTTGTACCTAAAGATATCCTGCATTTCTGTCCTTCAACCATTCTATTCCAGCCGTGAAAGCTGAAGCAGCAAGCAAATATCTCAAGTGCCTGGAAGCTTGGCTCTTTCATTATAAAACAAAATCCTATGAACCTAAAAATCTCCTTTTTTGTCATTTAAAACTTCTCACCTTTCTGTAAAGTATATGCACTAAAAGAAGAGGGGAGGAAGGAAATGAGATATATCATATGAGATATGTTTGTCAAGCACCTGAGATCCAGGGGTCTGGTGGAAACAGGCTGCCAACAGCCAACATCACTTTAAGGACTTTGCTTCCAGGGGCACTTCAACCCATAGGGGTTTTCAAAACACTTCTTATAAAAAATGCTTAGGATAATACTGCAAAATACTGCTTCTGATAGACTCTGCCTTTACTCTCCCCACTCTGATTTTCTGGGGTTTCCTGCCTTGCCACCTCCGACACAAGCTTTCCCTTGCAAAACTATAAACAGTGCTGATCAGTGCAATAAAGGCTTGCCCTACGGAACCACGATACTGCCAGAAAAATACAAGAGTTGGCAAGTCTCCCAATATTTACTGTTGCTGGAATCAAGGGCTTCCTTACACATTTCAGCTGCCTTTAAGAAAAAAAAAAAAAAAAAAAGAGCTGCTACCCCTGTCAGTGGTGAAAACAGGCTGGAAAGCTAGATAGGAGTGCACCCAACAGGCCAAGATCAGAAAGCAAATAAACCCTTTCCAACGTTTAAAGCATTCCTCATGATCTTTAATTATGGGGGGAGGAAGGGGTGTCTTTTTTTGTTTATTTGTTTAAATACTCAGGTCTAATACTACTGAAATTTTGTTACAAACTGAGAATAAAGATGAAACTTTTCTTAGCAGCTGCTTTCAGAAACTGAACTTTCTCCAGAAGTCAAACACTGAAGGGAAAATTAACTAGTGCGTATGTTTTATCACAAATAGGGAAAATGCAGCAAAATGGCAGATGCTTTGCATGTTCTGCTGTATATCTCAAAGCTTCAGTGCTGGACGTTACCCTCAAAATAACAGATGTTTGGTTCCTATGGTGAAAACGGCATAAATTTTTCACAGAGATCAGCATTAACTGCTCCACAGCTTGATTTTTTTTTGTTAGATTTTATCTCCTGGATATAATGGCTGACAAACCGTAGAGAGTTTGCTGTAAGAAAGGCTGATTTTCTAGCAAATGGCTTACCGCAGTTCTCAATAGCATACTGTAAAATTATTCGAGGAGCCTGTTTGCATGGTAAAGAACAAGATCCATTTATAATGTGAAAACTAATGCAGGCAAACATCTTTTGTTTCCTACAGTGTCAGGCTTCTGTTCTAATAACTAAAGGTGTGTCAAACACAAACAGAGAAGAACACGAAAAACAGGACAATAAATCTTACAAGGAGGGAGAAAAAATCCTTAGCACTTAAACAGAGTAAAAAATCCTTACAAGAAATATTTTTAAAAAAAAACATTCAACGCAGTCTATGAATGCTTTCTATGCTTTAGGCAGAGGCTCACACCATGCAAGTGAAGAAAGAGCTAGAGTCAAAAGTAAATCCAAGTGGAATACAGTTACAGCTGCAAAATGAAGATTAAGATCATGAACTTCACCATTGCGTGGCTATTCCCAACAGAAGGAGATAGAAATGACATACAGGAAAGATGCCTGATTTTCTGAACCATTCAGCTATTTGCATCCAGGGCATATTTTCATATGCACATATGTAGTATTTTTGTTTTATCAAGGGAAAGAAATGCTGAGTTGCATTCATAATGCTCTTCCCGATTCCTTGGCTCCAGTCTGGACGGGCCTCCTGAACACTGTAGCAGGTGATTTTGTGACTCTCTATGCCTAGGGCTCTGCAAAGAAACCACAGTCTGCCAGAAATACCTCATGCTGTTCTTCCCCTACCCCCACTGCATACCTGTGCTTTATTCACAACCGTCTACAACATTATGCAAAACTAACTTCCATACAGAAAAGTAGAACTCACCTTCATGTTGCAATGACTGTAGGATTAGCTGGGGTAAAGAAAGTGTGATCAAAGTACAAATCACAAAGGATGACTAAATAAGTGACTTGAATAAGTGCCCAAATTAAATCTGCAAAACAGGTAAGTAATTGTAAACTACACACGGTAAAGATGTGGCAATACGTCAACATGATGGGGAAACAGCATATTAATTATTCAAATATGTGTTAAAAGTCTTGTGAAGATGTGTTAAGACAACATAGAAAGAGAGTCATAAGCATAATGGCAAAAAACTGAATGTGGGAGAACGACAACCAGAAAGGAAAGATCTTCTCTCTCTGTCCTGAATTTCTCCCTTAATGATACAATAATACAGCAACAAGCTGATTTCAGCTTTCTGCCTCCTTTCAGGCATAATTTACAGTTTGACAGCAATATGAATAAAAGTGACATTTTCAGACATTCATGCCAAAGTTTTGCCATGCTGAAGGTCCCATTCATTAAACATTTGTTTATTTCTGTATTCTATGAGCTGCAAAAAAATTTAGAGAAATGGAACCCCATTGACAAACATTTCGCCCAAATGCTGTGCTCATTCCTCCAACACAGATGGCCAGCTGAAACGCTTGCATTAAAAACTAAATCACTGAATTTCTACCATACCAAAAGCAGAAGGAGCAGGGATTGTTCTACGTGGCCTCTCCTTAAGGAACATGAACTAATTAGATTAAACATCTAATTTTGAGATCTGAGGTCATCTAGCCCAAGTTACAGACCAACAGGACTTAGGCTCTTAAAAGCCTTGATGAATCCAAGCCTTACCGCATAATCCA